ATAAAGTAATAATAAAAAAAATCTATCTATCTATCTATCTATCATCTATCTAAGCTTTTATTTTGTCAGCAGAACAGTGTTATTTAACTCAAATGCATTTTGAGCTCTTATTGTGAAGTTCGGGTCGTCCAACCAATCAGATTTCAGGGTTTTGTAACAGGAACCGACGATACGAAAACAGATACAGACTGCTCGTCGCTTGAGAGGTAATTGTTTTACTCATTTATTAGTGATGTAGTGAATTCAGTGTTTTATTTATACTAACTGTAATCAACTAAATGTTTCAGGTTTGTTAGCTTAATAATTGTAACGAGTTTGCTGTCGGAACACGGCCGCCTGTTGACAGTCAGTCATGCTGAAAGCTGTAGGACAAGTTTTGTTCTCCACGGGACTGCAGAACCCAAAATACACGGCAGAAGAGGCAAAGGTAAATGTTTTCCAGTAAAACTCGTAAAAATAAAGAACTTCAGACTTTCGTCGCGATTCGAACAACTCTGTTTTCCTACATGTCACAAGACACGTGAAGTTACAGCTCTGTTAAATTTCACTGCTTATGTTTTAACTTCTTTTATTTCACATATTTACTGCCTAAACTTCACAGACAAAAAGAGAGGTTTCATATATATTTTATATAGATATGTACATTAAATTTACCATGGTTTTGCGCATTGTTTGGTTAACATGTACTTTGGGCTTGTGACTTTTGTAATGGTTGGATTTATTTCTCTCCGTTTTAAAAAAAATTGCCCTTTTTTATTTATCTATAATTAAATAGAGTTTGTTTAGTTGTTATGCTTTATTAAACTAGTTAAGTTGATGCTTATATAACAAGTACAATATAAAACATTCTGCTCCAAAAGCAGGGTGGAGGCTTCCTATAAGTCATCACAAGACTTAAAATAGCACAACTGTAGACTTTGCAAAACATGTCAGCATATTATAACTTGCAAGAGCAGGTGAAAAGTGAGTCTTTCGTTACTTCTGTTTTCTTTTTTAAACTCCCACTTGAAGTCATCCTCCCGCTGGGTAGAGCAGAGTCTAKTCTGCATGCTGTAATCAATAAGGAAAATACTCTGCTCAAATAAAAATTAAAGGAACACTTTTAAATCAGAGTATAATATCAAATCAGGTAAACCTCTGGGATGCTGAGCTGGTCAGGTAAGAAGCAGAGAGGGTTGTTAATCATGGTCAGCTGTTGATGAAATTTACAACAGGTGCACCAAAGAGGCAACGATGAGACCCCAGTGACAGGAATGGTTTTGCAGCTGGAGGACGCAGACATTTCTTCCCAGTAGTTTTGGATTTGACTAAGGTCTGTGTCACTACTGGTAGCATGAGGTGACACCTGGAGCTTATAGAGATTTTACAGGTGGTCCAAATCCACCCAGATGGCACAACGATTTGTACCATTGGCAGAAGGTTCGCTGTCTCCCAGCACAGGTTCAAGAGCATGGAGGAGAGTCCATGAGACAGCAGTGCTGGACAGGGCCGCCGGARGTCCTTAATAAGGGTGCACGATAGTTATTGGCCCGACAATAGTCTGTGATGCATTTGATGCCCTTCCATGTGCTCAATGGATCCTGGGAGGAAAAGTAGCCCTGAATCCTCTGGGCATATTCAGCCTTGGCCCTTTTAACTCCCCTTGTCAGCTCCTTCCTGGCTCTTCTGAGTTCTTGTAAGTCGCCAGACCTGAAGGCAGTGTCCCTGACTTTCAGCAGAGTTCGGACCTCTGCATTCAGCCATGGTTTCTGGCTGGGGTAACGCATCACGGTTCTGGTGCTGGTGACATCCTCAACACATTTACTCAACATAAATACTGGTGCAATATTGTTTTTGATCACTAGCATTTGTTATTTGTTCTGTCAGTTCCATGAGAACCATTGAAGTTGAGTTAATGGGCCTCATGCAAGAACATGTTCGTATTTTTATCCTAAATTTCTCTTACTTTTGTTCGTMCAAAGGGTTCGTACGAACATGTCACGTCAGA